GAGCTTGGCGCTGGAGATGGCGAGCGTCCAGCCATCGTCCAAGATGTTCGTGTCGCGGCGCGGCCTGTGGACACCAAGAGCAGCTCCGACGAAGCAAGTCGAGTGCGCTACGAGCTACGGGGCTGGTGCGCAGTCGCAGACCCGGCGTCGTCGACCACGAGGTGCGTGAGTCTTGGTAAGGCCGGTGAACATTATCGAGTTCCCGCCTACGAGCTCGTGTCGAGCATCGAGAAGGACGGTGGTGAAGGGCACACGACACTGCGCAATTGGAGACACAAAGCTAGGAAGCGGCTATGGTGGTGTCGATGCTAGCAGCTTTGGTGCTGGGCGGCCACGTGAGGCGTCTTTCGATTGCCAATTTGCGCGTCTAGGCGCTGGCCAGCGCATCAAGCGTCATCGTCGGCGCAGTCAAGTGTCCTATCAGGCGCAGCTTCTAGTACTTTATAAGGACCGAGCCACCCTCCATTCGGCAGCAAATGGCGCTTTGATCGCAAGTTTGAGGCTGCATCTGGTCCAACACACAACACTTGGGTCGAGATAGCTGCATAAATTGCACGGGGTTACATTCACAGATACATACACACCGTACATCTAGTAGTCATAGAGCGGACCCTTGGGCTGAAGAACGTCAAGTGTGTCGGTCGTCGCTGGCGCAGGACGAGATGAGGGTCGATACCGTCGACCATCAGCGCACCGAGGCAGCCCGTAGCCGCCGCGCCTGTACCTGCCTGAAGCGTCGAGACGAGGCAGCTGACGATCGTCTGCTTCTCGGTGTTCTTGCCCGAGAGCGCTTGCAGAATGATGCACATGCGAGAATTGAGTCTTGGGTATATGGACGACGCTTTTCTGCGCAACGATGGGGCCATGGCGCGACTTGCCGGGGTGAGAGGTTCGCAGTGGGCGGTCTGGCGCCGTGACTGCGGTGACGAGGCACGGCGTCGGCCTTCTTCTTGGCCTTTGTATAGCGCGACGGTTGGCGTGCAGAAAATGTCGAGGTTCGTCGTCCGAGACGTTGGCAATCGCCGCGACGCGCGACTAGATGAGGTTGCTCAAGACGAGAGCTTTGCCGTTGCCGAAACACGAGAGCAACGAAAGAGCACACTGCGCGCCCACGCGTTCGAGGCGCGAAGCGGCGTAGAGCTTGGCTCGCATCCGTGAGACCCGGCTCAGTGTGAAAGAGGCACCGGCGGCACCATCTCATTGTCCTTGGGCGCCTTCGCAGCGCCGCGAGGTCGACATGAACCAGGCCTTGAGGCGCGTCCACTACGTAGCTCACAAAGGCGTCCTTGCGCGCACCGTGCACGGGCCGGTGGACACGAGACAACGAGAAGTGCGGAAAGAGCGCAAAAATTTCGACCTCGGGTGTCTCGGGCAAGCACGGAACCTAGTCATTCTATGAGATGCTAGTAGCGTCAGAGATATGAGGTACCGTGTGCTAAACGCGAGCCAGCGCTGGGCCGACGCCTTGAAGAACGAGGTCCGGTGTAGCATGACGTGGACCATGGGCGCGCGGCCACTGTGTGTGGCCGCCGAGAGAAGATGCAATCGCTGGTAGCTTGAGCGCATATCGCATCTGACGCGCCGCCGAGCGCGAGGTTCGCTGCGGGCCAGCGCCCACTGCTGGGCCGGCGGCGGCGTGGCTCGTTGGCAAATGCCGATTGGCTGGCTATTTATATCCGGTACCATTATCCGGATGCCTTGAAACGACACCACGAGCATGATACGGTCGAGGCCATCGTCCGCACTCCTCGCACAAACGCTCGAGGTTGTCGCTGTCAGCGTTTGTTTCGGCGCGTCGACTATATACCTCACAGCACGTAGTCGCCGAACATCAAAGCAATGGCATTTCATCCGCTGCGACCAACGCTGCATCGACGCCAGCAGCAACGACCCAATACGGATGCGACAGCTGCGCAAGCCTCTTGCGCGCATGTACGCACTTATACCAAGGTGCTGGTGCAGGTGCTCGATGGATGCGACGCTGCTCAACGCGTT